TGTCCTGGGAAGAACCAGCAAGAAACCCAGCGGGACTTTTTTTTTAAACATAATTTCACTTAACAATAATTTTGATTATACAATTTTAAATGAATTTTCATAGAACCAGCATGGTGGCGATCACCTTATTCCCAGGGGTTATTTTCACTCATGTATTCCTTGATATTATAATAACCCTTTTTGTACAGTTTTTCTTTAATAAAACTTTTAAATTTGTTTATTGACAAACTTTGAACATGTTCTGGGATTCTGTTGTAAAAGCGTATACATTGCCCCATAAATGAATTACTAATTCTGTGGAGTCTTGTAAGTGGCATTACAAGCTTATGTTTGTTCCTAGTGTTTAAGGTATGAACATCCTTATTCTTATTAAAGCTATTTATGTTTTTATGTACATACATTACATTTTCATAAATATATTGCGATGCCAAACTTAATATGTTTATTTCTTTAAATTTTTCTCTAAGGGACTCTTTACAATTTAGATTATAAATCGCCCGTACGGCTCTCTTTTGCAAAACAAATATAGCTTCAATATCAGTCGCATTACCCCATAGCAAAATTCCATAAGACATTACGCTATGAAAGTAACTAAAATACACTAACCTAGCTGTCTCAACATCTGTGAGACTTCTAATCTTTCTTACAGCATATGCTGCAGAACTAAGTCTGCTTGCTAATTTAGATATATGGGGGCCCCATTGAAGTTTCGCGTCAATAGTAATACCGAGAAAAACAGTGGTATCCACAAGACTCAACTCCTCCCCATTTAAGAGCACATTGGTTTTCGAATGTTTTACATTAGGTATTGTAAATTTAATACATTTTGTCTTATTGCCGTTTAAGAGCAAATTGTTGGCGTTAAACCAATGTACTAGTTTCGATAGAGCATTATTTACATCGTCATATTTAATTGACTGCCGTTTCAGTTTGAAAATTAAAGAGGTATCGTCAGCAAATAATACTATATCGTGATTGTCCCCTACAAGATAAGGTAAGTCATTAATATAGATTAAGAACAGGAATGGGCCAAGAATCGAGCCCTGAGGAACGCCCATTGATACTACCGATCCGGAGGAACATTTACCATTAATGACGACTTTTTGAGTTCTGTTACTTAAATATGAAGTAATAAGTTTAAGCGCCAAATTTTTTACACCGTAATGTTGTAGTTTCCTGATTAATGTATCATGATGAACACAATCGAAAGCCTTGGAAAGGTCACAGAAAATACCTAAGGCATCTTGTGAATTCTCCCAGGCATTAAAAATATATTTCATAAGCTCAACACCGGCGTCAGACGTCGAGCGACCCCTTGTAAAACCAAATTGATTTTTATGAAGTAATTTATTTGTATTAAAAAAAATTAACAATTGATCCAAAATTATTTTTTCAAAAATTTTACTGAGAGTTGGTAGTACAGAAATAGGTCTATAATTAGCGGGGTCCAATGTACTACCAGATTTAAATAAAGGTATTACTTTACTATACTTCATTAAATCAGGAAACACACCAGAATCGATACAAGTATTAAAAATAATAGCAAGATGAGGTGCAATTAAATCTATTATGGACGTAATCACTGTAACGGAAATCCCCCACAAATCTGCGGTTTTCTTTACATCAATGGTTTTGAAGTATTTTACAATATTATGCGGTAATACTTTTTCAAATCTAAATTCTTTTAAACAGATATTAACATTCTGTTTAAGTAATGATTCGGCGACAGTTGGAGAAGCATTCAATGACTCTGTTGTCAAGATAGGAACATCAGTGAAATATTTCTCAAACACCGCTGCAACTTCTTGATTTGATTTAGTCAATTCATTATTAATTTTTAATTGATAGTTTGAATTACGAGGTTTCTCATTACCGGTTTCGCTGTTAATTATACTCCACGTCATTTTAATTTTATTCTTAGCTGCCTTAATTTTGTTACTAATATGTAATGATTTGGCTGTGGAGCAAACTCTTTTAAACATTTTAGAATAATTTTTTACATATTCTTTAAAAGCATCGGAAAGATTATACGATCTTTCATGGTAAAGGTCATATAACCTTCGTCTGCTTTTATAAATTCCTACTGTCGCCCACTCATTAAATGCCTTGCGACTGTTTCTGGAGAATGTTTTAGAAGTGAATATATCGTGCATGTGTCTAAAAACCTCGGGAATTAAACAGTGGCAGCCGTACAATGATGGGTGCAAGCGGGGTAAGGGAGAGGGGGATATTCCAAAACTTGGTTTAAACCGGTTAATTCTTACTACCTAAACCGAAATTTGTGAAAAACCGGTATTCCGCAAAAACCGGTTTTAGGGTCAATGACCTAAACCGGTTTAGAATTTCAACCGGTTTCCGAGCCCTGGTTTTAGGGCAAGGAAATATTGTTTTTTCTTATTTCTCAGACATGCAGGTTCCCAGGTGCAGGTCCCAATGCGTGTTGGCGAACTTCACATGTCTTCGAAATATTTTTTTATTTCTCAGGTTTTCCTTCACCACCGAACACGTGGTAAATCAGCGCTTAAAATTGCAATTAACTTTCATTCAGGGATCGAACCCTGTGAAATTAAAAGCGAGCGCTTAGACCCGAGCTACCACGACCCTTATGACAATATAAAAATATGAAAATAAGTGGTAATAGTATATAATTTTTTTTAAATATGGGACCACTTGTTTAATTTAATATTTACTTAAATAATAATCTGACGCCGGTTTTGCCTTTAAAGACCGACACAGGATTATCTTGAGGCCGCGTTCCGACGACACGCACCTGCCACGCGCACACCACGCGCGCCAGCACCCGCGTCTTACTCGCTTTGAAATTTGTTGCATATAATTTGAGTCTTATGACAAATTAATAAATCTGAAATTGTATAAAAAGCGCGGGCGTAGGGCGTAGGGGGGCGGGTGCAAAGCGTGTGCGGGGCGGGCGCGGGGCCGGCGCGGAGCGGGAACGAGGCGGGCGCGTGGCGTGAGCGAGGCGTGTGCGGTTGAACGTCGATAAATGCAAGTTCAGATTTATTGATTTGCCATAAGACTCAAATTATATACAACAAATTTCAAAGCGTGTCGTCGGAACGCGCCCTGACGGAGTTAAACGAGGAGGTTCTATATTTGACGTATACGTTTTTTTAAGGTTATTATTTTAGTAAAAAAAATTAACTAAACACGCGTAGAACGTCCGTGGCGTGCGCCAAATTCAACCGGTTTTACGATGCAGCCGATGCTTTGGCTGACCTCATCCAAAAATAGTGTTTTGTTTTATGTCATCATTTGAATTTATCATTTCTAATTTTAAATACATTTACAATTAAGAATCTGGTTTTATACGTGGTAGAGCTATGCTACAGCTGTATTATGGTTGAAGCACGAATGGGTTGGCTCGACCGGGTTAAGACCACGCTCTTATGGTGAATGTAGAGAACCGGAGGTCCCTTTTACTGGAAATGCATTCCAACTTAATCCTCAGGGGTGACAATGCATGTCGATGGATTTCAATGGGCCACACCATCCACTTAACATCAGGTACAGTCTACCTGATGTTAAGTGGATGGTGTGGCCGATTGTCACCCTTATTTTATAAAAAACTTCAGTCGAATTGAGATCTTCCTTTTTTTAGTTCACTAGATATGTTCAAAAACACTTTTTACACAAATAAAAAAACAATGATAAAATTGTATGAGATATTTAGAATAAATAAATAGAAATAAGTATTTGTAAAAAAGTTTGATGGGGAAGAAAGGTTCTCGAGTGACAAGCTAAGTGTAGGGCGGTCCCTCACATGTGAAGTGACGACCTGGTAAGAGATGCAGGTACTCGATGAATGCAGGTTTTTTTTTTATAGAAGAGGGGGCAAACGAGCATGCGGCTCACCTGATGGTAAGTGACTACCGCCGCTCATGGACAACCGCAACACCAGGGGAATTGCAGATGCGTTGCCGGCCTTTTTGAAAGGTGTAAGCTCTTTTCTTGAAGGTTCCTAAGTCGTATCGGTCCGGAAAATTCGCTGGTGGTAATTGATTCCACAAGGAAGTTGTGCGAGGGAGAAAACTTCTTCTAAATCGCACAGTGGTGGACCGCCAATCATCCAGATGGTATGGATGGAAACGCGAGTTTTGTCGCAATGTGCGATGGTGAAACTGAGCGGCTGGAATTAGTCCGAACAATTCCTCAGAGCACTCCCCGTGATAGATGCGATAAAATACGCAAAGAGATGCAACATCTTTACGCAGTGCCAGTGTATCGAGCCGATCAGAAAGAACTCGGTCGTCGACGATTCGAACCGCTCTGCGCTGGATGCGGTCAAGTGGAAGGAGCTGGCACTGGGGTGCCCCGGCCCAGAGATGAGAACAGTATTCCATGTGGGGTCGAACTTGCGCTTTGTAAAGTTGCAAGCGATGTGCCGACATGAAATACCGTCTCGCTCTGCTGAGCACGCCAAGCTTTTTAGAGGCCAATTTGGCCTTCCCTTCCAAGTGACCATGAAACTGCACACTATTCGATATGTCGACGCCAAGGATTCCGATACTAGCTGAGGCAGCAAGGGGAGTGCCTTGAAACTGAGGAGATACGACAAAGGGGTTCTTTTTAGCGGTAAACGCGCAAACTTGTGTCTTCTAGGGATTGAACTGGACTAGATTTAGTCGGCCCCAATCCGAGACTTTGTTAAGCAAAGACTCGACTTCAGACACAAGTTTGTCCCGGTACTCAGCGAAGTTTTCCCGAGAAATATTGGCACGGCCGGTATATAAGGCATCACCAGTGCTGTCGTCTGCATAGCAATGAATGCTACCAGTTAGCAACATATCATTGATATGCAGGAGAAACAGCGTTGGTGATAGCACGCAGCCTTGTGGAACAGGTGCAGCAGGTGGCTCAGGAGCGTGATTTGTGGCATTCCTTGGAGGAGTCCTGTGTTCAGCCAGCAGTGGACTTTAATAGGCTGTAATGGTAATAATTTTTATCTATCTATCTTAATATAATCTATTCTATTTTTCCAGTTTGCCTTCATTCGTGCCATTGTTCCTCTTCGAGCAATTCCGTCGCTACTCCAACTGCTTTTTCCTTCTGATCGCGTTGCTGCAGCAGATCCCTGACGTGTCGCCGACTGGACGCTGGACCACTCTCACACCTCTCATACTCATTCTCAGCGTCAGTGCCATCAAGGAGATTGTAGAAGACTTTGTGAGTATCCAAAGATTAATTTTTTTTTATATAGAATAAAGCTGACAAACGAGCAAACAGTCTACCTGGTGGCAATTGGATGCTGTGGCCCATAGACATCTACATTTATCTTCAATTAAGAAACAAAATGCTGAGGACTGAGATGGAATTACTGCTTACCAGTGAAAAGAGTCTCCGGTTGTCTACACTCACCATGCGAAACACAGCAGCATTAGGCAAGCAATTTTACGCTGGTGTTCTGTAAAAGCGTGGTCCTACCCCGGTCGAGCCGGCTCATTCGTGCTATAAAAAACCATCACGAAAAAATTTTTCTACCACCGTCACCATTACCGTTACAGCCTATTATAGTCCACAGCTGTACATAGGCCTCCCCCGTGGCTTGGCTCAGGGATATTTGCCATCGTTGCCACGCTTGGCAAGCGGGTTGACAACCGCAGTTTTTCTTATTTTTAGTCATTATTAAGAAGACGCTGCTGCCCATCTCCTGGTTTGTTTCCCTTTGCCACCTCTTACGACACCCACTGTATGATATGGGGTAGTGGATATTCTTACACCGCCGCTACACGGTCATGTTTAGTTGCGGTAGCGTAGTTCTACCACTTAGTATGAGACTAATTGGAGATATCTCGTCCCTGGCCTACAGAAACGACACCGAGCGGATGACGAGACGAACCGTCGCAAGGTGGAGGTGTTACGCGGCGCGCGTTGGCAGGCGATGCGCTGGTGTCGGCTGCAGGTGGGCGACGTGTGCCGCGTGCTTAACAACCAGTTCTTCCCCGCGGACCTCGTGCTGCTGGCCTCCAGGTGGGTTTTTTAGAAGAGGAGCATGCGGCTTATAAGTAACTACCGCCGCTCATAAACTGTAACACCTGGGGAATTGCAGATTCGTTGCCGGCATTTTGAAAATGACTAGGCTAGTTTCTTGAAGGTCCCTATAAGTCGTATCTATTCAGAAAAATCGCTGGTGGTAAATTATTCCACAAGAAAGTTGTGTGAGAAAGAAAACTTCGTACAGTGGGCCTCTCACCCCGCTTCGCCGCTCCTCTGTGTGCTTAATAACTAGTTCTTCCTCGCGGACCTGGTACTATAAGCCTCCAAATCAGTGCTGTTGGCCTATAAGGAGTTGCTGCTCTCCCGCCCTATCGTCAATCGTTTATTGCGTTTTATTTTATAAAGGTATTTATTCTCACTAGTTTAAACGTTGTTTTTCACAGTTTTGAATAGTCTTCAAGGCAAGCCATTTAGTTTACTAAACAATACATTTTAAAGAGTATGCGGAGGAATTGCATGATTTAATCCTTCCCTCTTCCTTCCACCCTCGGACAACTAGTTTCCACCCTTTCTTTGTTGACTTACTACGCATTTGAATCAATTGGTTTGCTTCATCGTTCGACATGCGTACGGCAAAGGAGTGGAATAAGTTGCCAGCATCTGTCTTACCATCCGATTACAAGGTGGGTATATTCAAGGCAACAGTGCATAGGCTTTTGTTAAGTCAATGCGCTTCATCATCTTCGGCTGCTTCAGCACGTACCATCAGGCGGGATAGTAGTCAAGCGCTGGCTTAGAATAGTAAAAAAAATGAATGAATAAATAACGTACTCTAATCAAGCTACACAATGTTTTATAACAGTGGTAGAGCCACGCGGCAGCTTTTGCTGACGCACGGATGGGCCGGCTCGAACCGGGGTGGTACCACGACCTCACAGAAAACCAGCGTGAAGTAGAGGTTTACCTCTGCGTTTCGCTTGGTGAGTGCAGGTGGCCGGAGGCCCTTTTTACTGGAAATGAGGCATTCCATCTTAGTCCTCACGGGTGACAACGCATCTACAGTTTACTTACTTATCTTCACGCACAATCCCTGACGGGGTAGCCAGAGAGAACAGATCGCCAAGTGTCACGATCCTTACAAACCTCTTTCGCTTCTTTCAGATTCATTATCTTCTTCATACATGCACGTCTAGGTATCCGAGTACTCTTGACCCTACCCTCTTCGAGCAATTTGCTCACATGGTCTTCGAAAGTTAGTCTCGGTCTACCTCGACACCTTTTAATATTAACTTTCGCGCTATTTATTTTCTTCACCCTTCGGTCTTCACTCATTCGCTCAACGTGCCCAAACCACCGAAGCACGCCCTTATCAATTTTTGTGATAAGGTCATCTTTCAAACCTGCCATATTGCGAATCTCTTCGTTTCGCTTTCGGTCGGCCATGGTAACGCCGCACATTTTACGAAGAGATCGCATCTCCACTGCATTCAACTTACTTTTATGCTTTTTCTGGCATACCCAGGTTTCGTTGCCATATAACAAAATCGGTACCAACACTGCGTTATGTATTGCAAGGCGTGCACTCTTCGCTACGCCTTGCCTTTTGACTAACGCAGTCAGGGCACCATTGACTTTGTTCCCGGCAGCGACACGCCTGTCCACATCTAAATCACATCTTCCATCCCGGCTAAAAGCACTCCCCAAGTATACAATTTCATTTACCTGTTCTAGACATTCCTGATTTACCCATATTTCACACTTCGTTCTCTCTTCGTCCCTTTCAAATACCAGAACCTTACTTTTATTAGCATTCAAACGGAGACCTTTAATTTCACATTCCTCTTTCATACACGTGACTAATGCCTGCAGTTCTGCCTCTGATGGTGCAATAAGCACTGCATCATCAGCGTACAGCAGACAATTTACTTTTATGTCACCCAATTTCACACCCAAACAGCTATCTTTCAGCTTCTGTAAACAGCTGTCGAGATACAGTATGAACAGCCAGGAAGACATGACACAACCCTGCTTTACGCCCGTTTGGACGTTAAACATGGGTGACAGGTCATGCCCTACCCGCACACAGGCTTTACAGTCACAGTAAAGAGACTGCACAGCCCTTAGCAATCGACCATCCACACCATACCCCGGCAACAGTTCCCACATTTTCTTCCTTACAACCTTATCAAATGCTTTCTCAAGATCCACAAAAGCACAGAAAATCTTCTGGTTAGCAGCCAGAAGCTTTTCCGTGATCATGCGGAGAGAAAACATTTGATCCGTGCATCCTCTTCCAGGTCTAAATCCGCATTGTGCCTCCCATAGAAATCTTTCCGATTTCTCTTGCATCCTACGTGTCAAAACCTTCGAGTAAACTTTACTTGCTAAACTGGTCAAGCTGATCGCCCGATAGCACCCGCAGTCAAAATGTGAACCTTTGCCTTTATATAAAGGCACAATGACTGCGGATCGCCAATCATCCGGGACATCCCCCGTCCGCCAGCACAAATTGCACAGCAGATGAAAGCTGTCCCAGACGCGAGGCCCACCATACTTGACCATTTCAGCAGTAACTCTGTCTAGTCCCGCAGCTTTACCACATTTCAAACTTCGAATCGCACGTTCAATCTCTTTCATACTGATGACCTCAGTGTCATCGAGGTCCGGGTCTGGCGTACCAGTCACGGCGTCATCCCCGGATCCCTCACTAAGATCATCACACGCATACATTTCTCTATAAAATTCGCTCCATCGCTGCATGACGTCCGATTTTTTTGAGAGGACGTCATTAGTTCTCGAAAGCACTTTGTTCATTCTTAAGGCCGTCGCACCACTTCGGGTCCTTCCAACCTCTTTCCAGAAGAGTTTGGAGTTCTCCTTAAATATGTGCGACAACCTTTCGTCCGCTTCCATTCTACACCTTTCACGCACTTCCTCAATCAGTGCTTTCGTGTGAACTTTCCGCAGCCTATATTTTTCTTTCATCTTCTCTCTCATATCCTTATCATTACTAGAGGCCAAGTAGTCTAACCATGCTTTCTTCTTCTTCTTTACAGCCTCTTTCACTTCATCATTCCGCCATGCATCTCTTCTTTTACTACTGCCTCTTTTTATTGTTCCACACACTTCTTCCGCTGCACTTACCATTCCATCCCTAAGGTTCTGCCAAGTTCTTTCTACACATTCTTTTCTGCCATCGATGGTGTCAAGCTTTTCGGCTATCCTCGCATGATATTTGTCCCTAGTATCCGCTTCCTGAAGCTTCCAGCTTCGGATGCGACAGACCGACTGTGGTTCTGTTACTGCCGTCCGGTAGCGCCAACCCGCGAACAGACCCCTAAATCTAGTAATCACTAGATAGTGATCCGTTCCCAGGTCAGCACCCCTGAACACTCGCGTATCCATCACCTGTTTTCGCAGTCGGTCATCCACCAGGAACAAATCGATCATACTTCTCTCATTCTTTCGTTCTCTAGTATACATATGGATTTTCTTGTGATTAAACATAGTGTTTGTCACAAGAAGACCCTTTTCCTTGCACACCGCCAGTATAAGCTTGCCAGCATCATTAACCCTTTTATCGCCAAACTTTCCAAGTACCGACTCGTACCCTGGTCAAGCGGTACCAACCCATCCATTCAGATCACCACATACAACAATTCTTTCGTTTCCCCTAGCCAAATCTAGAACTTCTCTTACATTCTCCCAAAACTCCTCCAGCCCAGCCCTGGACGACGAAGCTACCGGCGCATAAACATCCAAAAGGAATAACTTCGTCAGTCCCAATTTAAAGCGAACCCAGAGAAGTCTTGAGTTCACAACCTTATATTCAGTCATAACATCGACCAACCGAGAAGACAGCAGCACCCCCACTCCCTGGCAGGCGCTCTCGCTCTCTGGGACTCCGGACCATAGAGCTAACGCCCCGCCAGGGAGCTCTTCAGTACCACTGCCTTTCCGTTTGGTCTCCGACATACACACGACATCTAATTCTCTTTCTTTCATTATTTCGATCAACTCATTCATCTTATCTCTCATGCCTCCTCTAACATTCCACGTGCCAACTCTGCACTCTGTCCTCCACCTTCCGCCGTGTCGGGCTGCTCGTGACGGGTGGCGGTCCCCATCGCCGCTTTGCGCGCTGCATTCCACACCAACGGGGACGAGCTGGTGTGCGTCGCCTTGGGGGGACGCCCTAACCCTCGTTGGCATGGGGGCGCAGCTGAGTAGAATTGCAGCCCTGAAAAGGGCTGGCAGGGGTCGCGACGAGCACGCTTCTACAATGACCCCCAGTCTACAGTTTGATTTGTAATAGAGGATTAATGTAGATGTCTATGGGCCGCAGCAACCACTTACCATCAGGTGGACTGTGTGCTCGTTTATCACCATTATCCTATAAAAAAATGTACAAAGAAATTAATTGTTGTTGTGATATAACTCATAACGGTTTTGCCGACCGACCGACCCTTACGAATGTGTGCGTGCATAGTAATAATAATAATAATCTCCTCGACCGATTTCGGCCACGGCGACCTCTTCAGCTCCGATCTTGTCGTTGGTGTGCTCGTGCATGGCTAACGTAGCCGATCTTATTTACAAATGTTCGCGTGCAATGCGGGCAGGTGAGCACACCATTACAGAAATTATAGTTAATCGCACAAGGTGGGCGTGCTTTGAGTTCATCACGTCGGGCGTCCAATTCAGAGCATCGATTCTCCTCAAACATTTTGACCTTGGCTTTCACCAAAGATCTCCACTCCGGTCGTCGAGCGGCTGCTTGCTCCCACTCTGAAGGCTCAATGTCGCACTTCGTCATGTGGCGCTTAAGTACATCTTTGTACCTGAGAAGTTGTCCGCCATGCTTACGCTTGCCCTTCTCAAGTTCAGAGAAAAAGATGCACTTAGCCGTACGCTGATCTGACATTCGCGATAAGTGTCCACACCAACGGAGTTGTCGCCCCATAAGGTAGGCTTCAATCCCCATGGTATAGGCTCTACGCAGCACTTCCGTATTCCGAATGCGATCAGACCAACGGATGTTGAGAATTTTGCGCAGACATTGCAAGTGGAAGCGATCCAGCGTCCGTATATGACGGCGGTAAACTGTCCATGACTCTGAAGAGTACAGTATGTTAGGCAGCACTACCGCCTTATAAATACCAATTTTGGTAGCCAGCTTTAGGTCATGTGAGCCAAAGACCTTGCGATCCAGTTTACCGAATACCGCAGCCGCGGCACCGATTCGACTGTTGATTTCAGCATCAAGGTCACACTTTGATGTTATCGTGCTCCCCAGATAACGAAATGTATTGATCTGCTTAAGTATATCATCACCGAGTTTGACGGCCAGTGTCTCTTGACCGTAGATATCTAAAGACATCACTTCCGTCTTTTTAACACTTATCTTCAGACCAAAAATACGGCACGACTCATGAAAGGTGGTCACAAGCTGTTGCAGGCCAGCTGGGGAATCGGCCACAAAACATAAATCGTCTGCGTAGACTATCTCTGTAATAAGTGCGTAAGACACTTTCGTACGGGCCTTAAGTCTAGCTAAGCTGAAAAGATTGCCATCGTTGCGGAAACGAATGCGAATTCCATCATGGGTAGTTTTTAAGACTTCCTGGACTACAACTGCAAAGTATAACGCGAAAAGTGTGGGAGCAAGGACACACCCTTGTTTTACTCCACAGGTAACGGGAAAAAATTCTGACTGATCAGCGTTTACAGCGACGCAGCTCTGCATGCCATCATGCAGGAGTCTCAGAAGTCTCACAAACTTCTCCGTGCATCCAATATTCCGCAGCACTATCCAGAGGGCTTCACGTGGTACACTATCGAATGCCTTCTCAAGGTCTACAAAACAGAGATACATATTACGACCCTGTTCTCTGCTTTTTTCCTGTAGTTGACGTAATGAGAAAATCGCCTCACAGGTACCACGGTCAGGTCGGAAGCCGAACTGGGATTCCGGCAAAATCCTTTCAGAAAGTTTCCTGAGGCGGTTTAAAAGAAGTCTGGCGAAGACTTTTCCAGGCACTGAAAGTAGAGAAATGCCACGGTAAGAATTGCAGTTTGACCGGTCACCCTTGCCTTTATATAGGGCTCGTATGAGGGATACCTTAAAAGTATTAGGGACTTGTTCTTTTTCCCACATAATGACAAAAAGTTCCCATAACGCTGAATACAAATCCCCACCGCCATACTTCAATAATTCACCCGGTATAAAATCAACACCAACCGCGCGTTTATTTTGCTGTTGCTTAATGGCAAGAGCAACCTCGCCAGGCGAGATTGGCTCATCTAGCTCGAGGGCGAAAGGTTGTTGAGGTAGGCAGCGAACGTGGTCTAGGTCAACAAAATGATCCACGTTAAGTAGGGTGTTAAAATGCTCCGCCCATCGCCCGAGTATTTCCTCCCTGCTTTTAAAAAGCGCTCCACCACTAGTTGACTTCAGTGGTACTTTTGCCATAGAGGACGTACCGAGTAGATGTCGCACCTCAGCATAAAACTCACCGAGCTGGTTGGTATCAGCGAGCCACTGCATCTGACGAGCCTTCTCCTGCCACCACTTGTCTTTCGCTTGTCGTGCGAGTTTACGCAGCTTCAGATCACTTTGACGCAACTCCATAGCACCTCCACTCTGATGAGTTCTACTGTGCTGCTTTAGGAGCCTACGGTGTTTATCAATAGCGCCTGTAAGTATCCCATCATTCTCATCAAACCAGTCCTCATGTTTTCGAACTCTCAAACCCAAAGTAGATTTAGCAGTGTCGAGAACACAAGAAGATAGAGACTCCGAGACAACATCGATCTCACCTAATTTTAGATCGAGGGGCTGCAGAGCAGTGTTCAAGGTTTCGGCATATTTAGCCTTCGTGTTAGTATCTTGGAGTCGTTCGAGGTTCAGACGTATCTGTTTAGATCTTCCCACTCTACAAGGAGGTGGAAGACGAAGATTTAATTTAATAATAACAAGCCGGTGATCAGTCCAACAATGAGCACCACGCATGACACGGGTGACTTGGACTTGAGATATGTCTTTTTGACGCACGATGGCGTAATCGATAAGGTGCCAATGTTTCGATCTGGGGTGCATCCACGTTGCCTTGTACTTGGCAGGCAGTCTGAACATAGTATTTGTAATTGCAAGATCCAATTGTGCACAAAGACTAAGCAACAATTGGCCGCTGCTGTTCATTTTACCAACACCATGTCTGCCGAGAACTTTAGGCCAGGCGTCATAGTCTCGTCCTACTCGGGCGTTAAAGTCGCCCATGAGAAGGATTTGCTCTCTTGGACGAATACGATTTACGCACCGCGTCAATTCTTCGTAGAATTTATCCTTAATATCATCAGACTTGTCCAGCGTAGGGGCATAGACACTGATGATATTAAGATAGCTTTCACGTTCCATGTGAAGGCGCAATGTGGTAATGCGGTCCGAGATGTGTACAGGGTACTCTTGCAGTTGAGCAGCAAGGTAGTTCTTGACAGCAAAGCCTACACCAGACCTTCGCGGCTCCGAGGAAGCGAGTCCTTTCCAAAAGAAAGTATACCCGCCGCCATATTCTACCAGCTCTCCTTCCTCGGGGAGGTGTGTTTCGCTGAGTGCAGCCACATCAATATTATAGCGACTTAGTTCCCGAGCTACAATGGCAGTTTTTCGCTCAGGGCAGGCATTTGCTTCGCGGTCAAGAAGTGTGCGCACATTCCACGCGCCAAATGTCATTGATTTTGATAAATTAAATTTTCCATTATTTTTCCTGTAGCGCCGACCGCGAATTTATGATGCGGAGGCAGCCGCGGTTGCTACCATCCTAAAGGGGTTGGAGTGAGCATTTGTTTAGGGCACCTTTTCTAGCCCCCTCCCCGTCTGAGCGAGGAAAGCAGTGCCTCCCTGAATAGGGCTGCTTTGTCACCTTGGGTGCTGCCGAGTCCGCTCTGTCACCCCGTTGCAGAGCAGAAGCGACCACGATGTACACTACACCCCCAAGACCGCCTACGTGCAGGAGTCAGACAAAACTCAACGGGCATCACGTCAAGCCTCTCTACCTCCTCCCATCGCCGTAGGACATTGGTTATAGATCGGAGTCCTATTTGGAAGCAGGTCAATTGCGCAGGACATATTAACGTGCACAAGTGTACGCGCGGACACAGGTGCACATACTCGTCTTTGCCCCTCTGGACCCAGTGGAACGGAGACCGTTACGACCGGAGAGGGACTCGGACAGATGGAACAGTAGGTATATCAGTGAAAAAGGTACAGGGGTTCAGTCCTTTTCCACACTCCCTTAGTCGCCTTCTACGACACCCACAGGTAGATATGGGGTGGTGGTATTCTACTCCGCCGCACACCACACGGCATAGTAAAATAGTAGGCGTGACAATCAGTTCAAATAATGCATTTTGAATTTAAAAGATAAAAATATATTGACGATACATACCACTTTCTTTTCACTTCTTTAATAACGTCTTATTATTCAACTCTTGGAACCTTTTCGTTTTCGATAACTTCAATCGGCATTGCTAGTTTGGCACGCTCAACTTGAAAGTTGCGCCCAAATGCTGATTTGTGAACATAGCCTGTGTTGTAACTCCCAATCATCTGCATCGGTTTTGAGCTATGTCTGTATTGGAATAGAATTTAAATGTGTTCAGTTAATATCGCCATTTAGAGAGGAGAGGGGGAAGGGTGTGAGTTATAACCTGTTACACAGTCAAACTTGCAGTTTTTCTTGTATATGCTTTATGCTATAATTTTTTTTTCACAGTGAACCCCAAGGGATATCGTTCATCGAGACCTCAAATCTGGACGGTGAAACGAACCTGAAGATACGGCAAGCCAGACCAGAGACAGCGCGTTTGGACAACCTGGCCTCGCTGTCCGACTACCAAGCCACGATCCAGTGCGAGCCACCCAATAGACACCTTTATGAATTCAACGGCACGTTAAAGGAGACCAACACTAGGTGAGGCAAGAGGCTTTTTTGTGAGAGAGATAGAAAGAGAAAGGGAGATAAAGAAGACTGATAAATCAGTTTACTTTTGCTCTATTTTTATAAATGTTGAAAGAACGAAACAGAATCTGTTTAGGTTTTAGGGTTTAGTTAAAAGTACAGCCATTTCTGAGAGGGATTTAGGGCAAGGATGTGTCCGCCACGCTGCCCCAATGCTCGTTGGCGAACTTCACATGTCTTCGAAATATTTTTTTTTATTTCTCAGGCATGTAGGTTTCGTCACGATGTTTTCTTTCACCGCCAAGCACGTGGTAAATCAGCACCTAAAATTGCAATTATTAAATTCATTTGTGCTGGCGATCGGACCTAGGTTACTCGCATACTGTAGTGGCGCGGTGTAAAATATTCACTACCCCATATCGTCCCGTGGGTGTTGTAAGAAGCGACACAGGGAAGCAAACCAGAAGATGGGCAGCATTGTCTTATTATATTTATAGTTGCTAAATATAAAAAGTAAGTACAGAAAGTTCTTGCAAAATCTAAGAATATTACTGTCCAAATTTTGACGTACCTAATTTTCATATTTACAGATGTTTAAAAAAACGGATAAGACTGAATAATTATACTGATTTCTTATATACGCGTTCACTACATATTTAAATGAAACAAGTTTTACGGATTTTATCGCGTATATTAACTTATTTTACTACTACTGTACTATAATAGTTAGAGAAACAGTAAAGAACTCTCATTAAACAAAAAAAAAAAACAATCATACTTTAATAATAATAATAAAAAAAATAAAAACAATAGCGTTTCCATAAATGGAACAGAATCAACGCATATACCTCGAACAATGACGACTTATTATTTCTTGACAAAATTATTTTATTATAGTATTTACAATACAGTTATAACAATTAAATAATGTTAATATTAATACTTAACGAAAATATGAAATTCCATCCTTTTTTAGCGTTCTGGATGTGTGATTTTTACACTTCTTAAACGAGCTTTGAGGCATGGTTATCGTCGGAGCATTCGAATGCTACTAGATTAAAAGTGCACTAATATGTTCGAGTGGGTGCACATTCGGTTATGCCATTTTTTGTCACTGATTGTGTATCTAGTTTTTTATTAGTGATTGATGTTATAAATTGATATTTTTTCAATAACAATAAAACTGAAACTTGCAGGTCGATTCCACTGGGGCTGGAGCAGATGTTGCTTCGTGGTTCGCTGCTGCGCAACACGGCCTGGATACACGGAGTCGTCGTCTACACCGGACACGAAACCAAGCTCATGAAGAACTCCACCAAAGGTACACAAAAAAAGGGGGAGTTAAAAATATGGACTGTGGCGTCTTTTAAAGGCAAAATTTCTTTAGGATCGTTGTTATTTGAAACTCGATGAAAAAAAAAGCGACACTACAAAGAGAGTAAACATTATGCATCTATAGGATTTAGTCTGCGAGAGAATGAGATAGAATGCACTATACAGTGTTTTATATTATTTCGGTCTATTTGTGCGGTGCTTCAAATATCGTCTAACCGATAACCTTTAAAGTCGACCTAAAAATAGTCTTCAGATCCACACCATCACAGCATATAAAATTCCACTGTGAACATAGGCCCCCACTATAGATTCTCTCATTGGGGGATTTTGCCATAGTTGCCACGCTTGGCGGGTGGGTTGGCAAGCGCAGTTTTATATTATTTTGAGTTGTTATTAGAAAGATGCAGCTGCCCACAGGCTGTTTCAGTTTCTATATACTATATAGGATAGTGTATATTCTTACACCGCCACTACACGGTTCAGATAAGACAACGAATCTTTACCTGTGTACTGGTTCTTGACGTGGTAGAACCACGCTACAGCTATATTATGGTTGTAACACGAATGGGTTGGCTCCTCCGGGGTAGGACCACGCTCTTACAGAATACGAGCTTAATGCTGCTCTGTTTCGTATGCAGAGTGTAGAGAACCGGAGACTTTTTTTTTACTGGTAACATTTTAGTCCTCAAGGATGACAACGCATCTGAATTTTTTATTCCTAATCAAGGATAAATGTAGACGTCTATGAGCCACTGCATCCACTTACCATTAGGTGAACTGCGTGCGGTTGTCACCCTTATTCTATAGAACAAAAAAAAACCTTTTGAAGTTGGCTACGTGTATACGTAGATTGCAGTACTCAATAACCATCAGGTGGTCTGTAAGTACGTTTGTTGCTTCAGTTTTGTAAAAAAGGCGGCCAAGTGCGAGTCGGACTCGCGAATGAAGGGTTCCGTACCATTGTAAGCACGTTTCTAGTAAGGGAGCTTTTAATTTTTAATTTATTTTTATTATTTCCTTTGATTTTTATAGCGGCTACAGAAATACACATTCTGTAAAAATTTCAACTGTCTACCTAGTACAGATCATGAGATACAGCCCACTGACAGATTGACGGACGGACAGTGGAGGCTTAGCAATAGGGTCCCGTTGGTTACCCTTTGGTTACGGAACCCTAAAAAAGAGTGTTTGCCTTAAGTGATGCTCTTAAAAACCACCAAGTTACTGGACAAGGCGCCTTAAAGCGAACATAACGCATTCTAAATAGAATGGCGGAAGACATTGACGTATTGTGTTGCACCTTGAGTGAATTCACTAGGGTAGGATTGTTTACAATTTACTACAGTTAATGACCACATTTTCTGTTAAGGATATAAAGAACTACACTGTCGCATTAGGTAATTCTTGTCATAATAGTTGTAAGTTTCAATAAATAAATAAAATTTGTTGTTTCATATTTAAGAGAACGCAAAAAGTTGTTTTGAACGGTATGAGTTCTTCCGGTTCTGAAGTGCAAATGGGAGTGCCTCAGGGCTCAGTTCTCGGTCCCTTTCTGTTTCTTGTCTGTTTCTATTTCTAATCGTCACGCTTAGAAGGCTGATTTATGATCAGTACCAGCCGGCTTGCACCTTTGAAGTTATTTCCGTTATACCGCCATCTGTCACTGTAAGATTATTTTGGCATTTCCTAAAAGTCTCTTACGTCACCTACGGGACGAAATGAGGTGAAAGATTTTCTCAAAGACTTCTATGTCTAGACGGACACTACGGTACTAATACATTCCGCACTAAGTTACGGTCAATTCTCCGTAACTCTTTTAGTCGACTGCGAGCCGAAAAGAGTCTTTGTATTGTAAACTGCGAAAGTTATCTTTGAAAATATAACACTGATTTTGTTTAATGTAACTAAGAAAACGCTATCATTATTTATGTGCGTTCTTTGTTAACTTGATTTGAAGTTTATTTCCGCTATTATATAATTTTATTTCGTGTTTACCTGAAAACAGTTATTGTCGTAAATGAAATGCAATAATACGTAATAAAAATGCGTGACATGTTTACCGTGCCAGCTACCCTCTCGCGATCCACAGCTGTGACATAGGTTTTGTTCTGAATTGCCGTTGTAAATATTTAGTTGAATCTTTGTCTATCGCAGCCCCTCTAAAGCGGTCGTCGATCGACAGACAGACGAACACACACATCCTGATGCTGTTCCTGATCCTGCTGGCGCTATCTCTTCTGAGTGCGGTCTGCAATGAATTGTGGCTGAGACGCCGCACTGCCACCGACTGGTACATTGGCCTTGATGGTGAGTATCATCATCATCATCATCATCATCATCAGCTTGTATATGCGATGCGGTGAGGCAAGTCTCTAGGCGTGACCACACGGTGCGGTGACTTGCAACGAAGTGGCGCACATAATGGCGCCTAGACGGCTTCGTTCTCACAGCGTGTCATTGACCAAGGTCATGCCAACCCGGAAGCAATTACAGTACTCTCTGCCCAGTCCACAAAGTAACTTCACAGATAATGCCGTACTACTAAATGTCAAATATAGCTGGCGCGAACTGTATTTTTACATAAAACTTATTTTGACGATGCTTTGGGGCATTCCTTGGGAAAAGCCTATTTCAACAGTGGACCTGTGAAGGATGATGATAATTATATTAAAAGAGTAAATTCTTTTATTTACAAACTAAAAATTTTGAAGCTGTGATACTTTAGGACTGACAACACAATGATTACAAGTGTGGCGCGCCACTATTAATGTCTTGTACATGGCAACACTAGTTACCATTGTGCGCCCTCTAGTATCGAGTAGCAGAACTAGGAGAGTCAAGATCCTTCTAGAAATTTCGGGACCGAAATGTACTCGAACATACTAAATGTTTCTACAGTAGAAGTTTCTGGAAACTATCTGAGGCCCTATATAAGGCCGGTATAGACCACGACCGAGTCAGTATTGAATTGGCGATACAAGAGAATACTTCGAAGCGAAATAACTGCGAACTAAACTGATCAGTAGTACAATTGTGTTTTATTATTAGTGTGGTTTTAGATTGTAATTAGCGTTGTGTAATTAAAGTGTCAATTTTGGTAATTCAATCGGCAGTTTTTAATTGACTCGAACCCCAAGCTCGTAACACAAGGGTTGTTTTGTATAACAGCGTAATCTAAGAAATAAATTCAAAGACAGTTTATTTATTTTTTAAACTAAAAATAATTTTTGTATCTTGATATATTTTTTCCAAACTCTGATTAATAGATTATAATTTTTTTTGTTACAGAGGCACAGAATGCAAATTTCGGATTCAACTTTTTAACATTTTTAATATTATACAACAATCTTATACCTATATCATTACAAGTAACTGCAGAAATCGTACGATTTTTCCAAGTAAGTGCACATTTTGTTTAATTGCCAAATTTATTTCTTAACATTGTTAACTTAATTTGCTTGTGTATATTATTTATTGACATGATATATTTGAAAAATAACTTTTCATACGTATTATGTTAAATATAGTATTTTTCCTTTAAAATAATATCATTATCGTACATCGCGACAATACTCGCGATACTATTCCTAATATCTGGATGATTGGCGGTTCACCACTGTAAGATTTACTAGAAGTTTTCTTGCTCGCACAACTTCCTTGTGGAATCGGCTACCACCAACAATTTATCCGGACCGATACGACTAAGGGCCTTTCAAGAAAAAAGCCTACTTTTTTTTAAAAGGCCGGAAATTCACCTGGTGTTGCAGTTGTTCATAGGTGGCGGTAGTCACCATAAGGTGCCCCGCAAGCTCGTTTACCCACTCTTCTATAAAAAAAAAACTGTAGTGGTTAATTTTGTGAATATTATGTATGGATGAATATTTTGAAAAACCGACAAACAATCCACTGCTGGAAATAGTTTCTACCATAGTTCCATCATTTGTTCCATAGCTTTGTAAGTATTCTTCTCATAAAGAAAAATTATGAAATAAGAAAAATGAAATTTTATCAAAATTAAGTGATGTTAGAGAATCCACTACCCAATATCATCCTGTGGGTGTCGTGAGAGATGACAGAGGGAACAAGAAGAAGGAGACAGGAGATGGGCATCAGCATTTTTTTTATAACTCAATAATAATTAAACATTAATTCTGTTCTATGGCAATCTATACGGGAGCCCCATGTTTAGCCGTGGACCTTAATATCTCCTATAAGGCAATATATGCAGGAGACCCATTTTCAGCAGTAGACTTCGCTGCACGACTGAAGTAATGTACTATTTATCGTGGTAGAGCCACGCTGCAGTTATGTTATTGTTGTTGAACGAATGGGTCTGCTCGATCAGGGTAGGCCCACGCTTTCACAGAAAACCAACATGAAATAGCAGCTTAATGCTGCTGTGTTTCGTATGGTGAGTGTAGAGAACCGGAGACCCTTTTTACTGGAAGCGAGGCATTCCATCTTGGTCCTCTAGGGTGACAATGCATCTGCATTTTGATTCTTAATCAAGGATAAATGTAGATGTGTATGGGCCACAGCATCCACTTACCATCAGGTGGACTGTGTGCTCGTTTGTCACCCTATCCTATAAAAAAAAAACAAGCCGCTTGCCTTCATACAATATGCAGGTCGGTCGAGGGACTGATTAAGACATTACTTAAAATTAACACAATTAACACATTACTTAAAAAAAATGTGGTGAGTAGTCGCAGGTGAAATTCCTCCTATGAGGCAATTTATGTCGAAGCCCCATGTTCAGCTGTGGCCTGTTAAGCTGCAAGTAATGAGTGAAGTAACAAGTGGCTTTGGTGGTGGTGGCAGGCGAAGTTCATCGCGATGGACGGCGAGATGTACCACGCGGTCACCGATACGCCGGCGCAGGCTCGAACCTCCAACCTCAACGAGGAGCTGGGCATGGTGCGCTACGTGTTCAGCGACAAGACCGGAACGCTCACCTGCAACGTCATGGACTTTCGCAAGTGCTCCATCGCTGAGGTACAGTACCAAGCACTCGCGCATTATATATATTCTCACCAAAAGGCATTATATATATAGCTGTAGCTGTAGCTATCTCTTTCTAATGCCATTGAGTGAAGAGAGATGGAGCTGGGCATGGTGCGTTACGTGTTCAGCGACAAGATCGGCACGCTCACCTGCAACGTCGTGGACTTCTGCAAGTGCTCCATCGCTGAGGTACCAAGCAGGAGCGAAAGCGACAGAGAATGATGGAGGGCGAGGGAAGGAGGGAGGGTGAGAGAAGGAGGCAGGGCGAGAGAAGGCGGGAGGGTGAGAGAAGGCGGGAGTGAGTGAGAAGGCGGGAGGGAGAGAGAAGGAGAGGAAGAGAGAAAGAGGGAGGGCTAGAGAAGGCGGCAGGGAGTAAGAAGGCGGGAGAGAGAGAGTAGGAGGGTCCGAGAAGGAGGGAGGGAGGGGGAGAGAGACAGAGACAGACTCTAAGTATTCGATTTTTCAGCAAGGTGGTGAAATATTAAATTACACAAATATATTACACATTATACGTGGTAGATCCACGCTGCAGCTATATTATGGTTGTAATACTAATGGTTCGGCCGGAAAAGGACCACGCAAAATACCGGCGTGAAGCAGTAGTGTAGAGAACCGGAGACCCTTTTTACTGGAAACGAAGCATTCCATCTTTGTATTTAGGGGCCATTCATTATTTATGTAAAGATGATTTTGACCCCCCCCCCTCCAAACCTCCATGTAAAGGTACATAAAATTTATTGAGACCCTCCCCCCCTCCCCTCCCTCTTATGTAAGATTCTATCATTTTTATTTAGATTACATTAATACGCGGGAAGAATTTACTATGATTATTAATTATAACATTAAACATTGATATAAATTAACACATTTAAGACTAAGATTTTAATAAACAATAAAAAAAAGAAAATAAGATGTAAATCGAAGTGTACGTTATAGAATGAAGAAAACTATTTCTAATATTAGATTTCGACATACTAAATATTACGTAAGAGTGGGTTTTACCCCCTTCCCCCAAGATAAGGGCATGTAGAGACTTTTTTAACCCCCTCTCTCTCTTTCAAGAACCTTACGCAATTAATGAATGGTCCCTTACGGGTGACAACGCATCTACATTCTGATTCTTAATCGAGGATAAATGTTGATAGGCCACAGTATCCACTTCAGGTAGATTACGTACGTTAGAGTAGTACCAAAATAAAAATATGTCAGTCATTACCATAAGACATAAATCTCTATAGAGATAAATTCTAATGACAAACTCATAGAGTAAGATTGCAGAAGCGCTACCTGGTCTCATTTTTTTAATCAAAACCACTAAGTATGATATTCAACTAAAATTATTGTTTTTTAGGTATACTACAGTCACATTACAACAAAAATGTTATAATTTACTATGAAAAACTTAGTCTTTACACTTTATTGCAAACCTAACAAATGCATAAGTAACTAACTGTAAATAAATTTATGTCGCTTACTTTATCTATAACTTATTCGTCCTTTGCTTTATTATCTACAGATTATCTACACCCGTCCGGGACCAGACGAGAGGCTGGAAGATACGCTACTTTATCAGAACCTGCAACGAAATCATCCCACCGCACCCGTCATCCGGGAGTTCCTCACCATGCTCGCCATCTGTCACACAGTTATACCGGAGAAGGTGGACGACAAGATCAACTACCATGCGGCATCACCAGGTAATTAAAATCTAGCATCATTTGCCGCATATGTTCACAAATGCATTTTGGTTTACGGAAATACTTTGGCAACATTTCAAAAATTTTAATTTTTTGCTTTTCATTCTTTTGTAGAGTATTAAATATTACTACAATTTTTCCGTCCTAGTTTTAGTAAAGTCTAGAGGTTTACCGATTTCAAACAGGATGAGGTACTCAATTCAATTGTGTTTTTTTATGCGTACTATCTCATAGGCCCGCATTAATAAACGTTACTCAGCTCAACTACACGCACTTGAGTACAATCTTGAGGTTATGATCTTATAAATAATTAAACGCGGAAGCTCTGCTTCCGCTTTTCGTCTGGTGAGTGCAGGTGACCGGAGGCCCAATCCCCCCCCCCCCCCCCCCAACCATAAACATGGTAGCGGAATTACATGATAGACTACAGGAGGGTACCAGCACCCCTGGAGAATTCCTCGCTAAGCATCCACGACCATGCTATTCCACTTCTGAGCGTGGGTGCTCAGGCTGCCTCGCGTATTCTGGGGGGGGGGGGGAGGGGGGAATTCCGCTCAACACAATATCTGCTCGGGGCAAACTGAGCAACAAGACCATGGCGACCCCTGCTACGCTATCTGTGAATTTCTGCAACATCAGGGGACTTCACTCGAACCTAAACGCTGTCCACTACCATCTCGAGACGGCGAAGCCGGCCTTGCTCTTTCTGACCGAGACGCAGGTGTCCTCTCCGGCTGATACTTCGTATCTCTCCTACCCGGGGTATTGTTAATTATTGTTGTTAAATGGAGCACTCCTTTGTGCCTCGGGCTGGAGTTTGCGTATACGTCAGAGAGGCCATCTGTTCTCGACGCCTCGGCAGTTTTGAAGGTTCGGACCTGTCCATGCTTTGGCTACGCGTAGACAGCGACGACCATCCGCGCGTCTACGTGTGCCTCTATAGGTCCCATAGCGGTAATGCCGAAACAGACCGACTCATCGACCACGTCCAAATGGCTACAGATTCCTTGCTACAACAGGTCTCATCCGCAGAGATCGTGATCCTTGGCGATTTTAACGCCCACCACGCCGAATGGCTCGGATCACGTTTAACCGATCATGCGGGGAGATCTTTTAATGACTTTGCCTTGGCATATGGTCTGACACAACTGGTTTCATCGCCTCCGTGGATTCCAGCCTTACACCTTCCCTGTTGGACCTTCTGCTGACCTCTCATCCGGACGGATATCAGGTTTCCGTCGATGCCCCTTTTGGCTCTTCGGACCATAGTCTGATCCGGAGTGTGGTGCCACACACGCTCCCCTCGCGGTTGCGTTCTGCAGGTTGCCGCCGTGTTTGGCATTACAGGTCGGCGGATTGGGACCATGCGGGCGGGTTTGCTTCTCGCCGGATGATCCCAGCGCTGTTGCTGACTCTGTCACTGATGTGGTGCTACAGGGAATGGAACTATTTATTCCATCATCTGTGGTACCCATCGGAGGCAGATCTCAGCCTTGGTTTGGTCGCTCCTGTAAGACTGCATTACGCAGTAAGCAGGAGTGTTATCAGGCCTGGGCTGCGGCTTTGGCGACTCGGGTTATAAACACCAGCACACTTAAAAAGAAGTATAACTTCGCCTCCAGGTCCTTCAAAAGAGTTATTGCCAAGGCAAAGTCAGAGCACATAGGCAGAATTGGCGAGAAACTAGTTCGCCTTCCTTCGGGAACCCGTGCATTCTGGTCTCTCGCCAAGGCTGTCCAAGGGAATTTCTATAAGCCATCACTACCATCTCTGCACAGGGAGGACGACTCACTGGCTCACGACGCAAAAGAGAAGGCCGACCTTTTAGGGTCCCTTTTTGCGTCCAACTCGACTGTTGATGACGGGAGGAACACACCGCCGACCATCCCGCGGTGTGAGTGCTCCATGCCGGATGTGCGGTTCTCACAGCGCTCGGTTCGCAGAGCACTCCTCTCCCTTGACATCCACAAGTCGAGTGGGCCTGACGGAATCCCCCCAATTGTGCTGAGGACGTGTGCTCCGGAGTTGGCACCGGTTCTAACGCGTCTTTTCCGGTACTCCTACTCCCTAGGCGTAGTCCCGAAATCATGAAAGACAGCTTTTGTCCACCCGATCCCTAAAAAAGGCGACCGCTTAGACCAGTCCAACTACAGGCCTATCGCCATCACCCCCTCAAAAATAATGGAATCCGTTATAAACTGCCACCTCATGCGGTACCTTGAAGATCACCAGCTTATTAATGACCGGCAATACGATTTACGTCGGGGTCGATTAGCTGGTGATCTTCTGGTCTACTTAACTCATAGATGGGCGGAGGCAGTACAGTACCTTGTAGTAGAGGTGTGCCAACTCGAAAGAAACTCCATTTGAGTTAACTCGAGTTGAAATTCACGTAACTCGAATTTAACTCGTGTAACGGCGGCTCTTCACGTTGGCCAACACACTGGCGAATGTGTTGGCCAACAAGGATGGCCATCGTGTAGAGCGAGTGTTTTAGCTACGTTGGTACGTATTGGAACGATGGCCCACAACTTGGCGCGAGATCCGTCTGGTGTCGGTTTTTTAGAAAAGATCAAAGGGTTGTGGCAGAGTATTGGCCGCCGCGTCCACACGTTGGGCGCACGTTCAGTTTGCTACGAGCTCCCAGAGTGATTGCACGCACCTGATTTAAATTTTATATGCACGCATCGTAACTAGTGTCTACATAACGGCAGTAACAATGACCAATGAAAAAACTTTTCGCTTTATAGAGCCCTACCAAGCCGAAAATTGTTTGTGAAACACAAGTCTTTTTTTAAAAAAAACGTTACTCCCACACTAGGATTTTCTCCTGTATCGTGGAGGCAGTATAGAAACATAAATTGCATAAGGACAAACATCCAGACCCGGAGCAATTATGTGCAGGCTATACAAATACTTGTTCTCTAAATTAATATAATAAATAATTAATATAATAAAGTTCTCTAAATTAGTAAATTGGTTCGATGTTAATAATTTGCATTTAAATGGCACTAAAACAAAATGTATGAAATTCGTGACTCCAAATGTCAAACAATTAAATACTAATGTAATTTTAAATGGGGAGAAACTGAGTCTTGTAGATACCACCATTTTTCTTGGAATCACACTAGACGCGAAGATTCAATGGAGCCCCCATATATCAAAACTAGCAAGCAGACTTAGTTCTGCAGCATATGCTGTAAAAAAGATTAGAAGTTTAACCAGTGTTGAAACAGCTAGACTAGTTTACTTCAGCTACTTCCATAGCATAATGTCGTATGGTATTTTGCTATGGGGACACGCAGCTGACACTGAAATTATATTTGTTTTGCAGAAGAGGGCCATAAGAGCAATTTATGATTTAAAGCCTAAAGAGACGCTGCGACAAAAATTTAAGGAAATTAATATATTAACTTTGGCCTCTCAATACATTTATGAAAATGTAATGTACGTACACAAAAATAAAAGTAGTTTTACAAAAATAAGTGATATTCATTCTGTAAATACTAGGAACAGACACAAGCTAGTAGTACCAGTTACTCGACTCCATCGAGTCAGTAATTCATTCTTGGGGCGATGTATACGCTTTTACAACAAAATTCCAGAAAATATACAAAGTTTGACCTGTTCAAAGTTCAAAAACTTTATTAAACTAAGTTTGTATAAAAAGGGTTATTATAATATTAAGGAATTTATGGATGATAATAACCCCTGGAAATGAGGTGATCGCTACCAAGCTATTTCTAATTTGTTGTGTTGTTAATTTGTGTAACATCATGATTGTAAGCTGTTATTTAAAAAAAAAGTCCCGCTGGGTTTCTTGCTGGTTCTTCCCAGGACAGAGGTTTTTTCCGAACCAGTGGTAATCAAACAAAAGAGTGACTTTCAATAAGTATTATTTATAATCTATATTGAATAAAAAAGTTTCTGTTTCTGTCTGTTTCTGTTTCTGTTCCGTGCGGGATTCGAACCCGCGGCTCCCAGAGCAGCAACTCATTGCTAAGCCACATAGAAACTATTTCTACACAATAGAAATTTTATTTCTTGACGGCTCCGTGGCGTACGGAGCCATCAAGACATAAAATTTCTTTTTTTCCATTTCTTTTTTCTTATACACATTCACGTTGTAGTGATTGATGTATTAATTTATTTATTTATGTATTAATTGATTTATATATGTATTAATGCTATGAAACTAGGTAAGATACTAAAATCAAATTAAAAGTTAGGATACTAAAATCATGTTTTTACTGTCTTTATTATTCCCTATTAGTTACTTTATTTCGTTAATAATACTGTAATTTTTAGCTATGGAAGAGCGAAGTCACCTGTTACAGGCATTATTTTGCTTACTAGGTGACCTCGATCACTGATCATATAATGTAACTTTAATGTTTGACGAAATAAATTATTTATTATTGTTATTTAGTTCGCCATATTGTGCATGAAAGAGTAAAAAAATAAATATATTCTATAATTATATAATAATCCTTTTTGAAAAGGTTTTGTTTAATAAAAATTTTACAATAGTTTCATAGACAGGCTTCGAATATTTTCCAGGCCTTAGTTAATTATACCTATGCCTAGGTGTGTTATTGTTTATATAGTTTACTTATCTGTATAACATTAGTGTATAATAAAGAAATATTAAAATTCATATTAAAAATAATAAATATTAAAAATAGTGAAAATTAAATAAAAAATAGTGGTATGCTGTGAATAAATAAACCGTAGCAGCCGTTTGCGCATCAATAATCATTTTAATTAATTCGTCCGCACATTGGCCTGAACCGAAGCAAACTGAACGACCTTCCAACGTGTGGACGCGGTCACAATTTCTTGGCCAATACTCTGCCAACACATTCGCCACTATGTTGGCCAACGTGAAGAGCCGCCATTACGCAACTTGAATTGGTGGAAGGAAGCTGCGTTAATTTGTTACAACTTATTTATATATTTGTTCTTTCATCCAACTTCGTGTTGGGCACAGACCTCTGGAA